GGTGGTGTGAGATGCACTCAGGTTTATCAGGAGGAAATGATGTGAATTATGTGAAACTTGAAGTCGTTCTTCCATCTTTTCACCACGAACAGCTTTAACCTTCAGACGAGGAATACGCTTCACCTGTGTACCTGTGTGCTTCTCCTCAGGTGTGACAGGGCTGCTCCACCTGGATGAGAGCGGGGACCGAGAGACCGACTTTGCTCTGTGGGACATTGTAGACACCAACAGCACCACCTTCCAGGTGAACACACTAAACACAGACACAACAGAAACGGGCTGGTTGTGTCCTCACAGGCTCCAACTCAGCGCTGTTTTTGTGACCTTTGAAAACATAAACTAGAGTAACGAATGTTAGAACGTCTGCGCGAATCCAGGGACGTTAACCACACCTCCTCTTCCTCGCAGATCGCTATGGTGTACAGCACCACTGAGGAGCATCTGACCGCCATACCTGGAACACACCTGTACTGGCTGGGCGGAGCCCCTCCCCCTGATTTTCCTGTCTGTGGCTTTAAGAACGACAACCAAGTCTGCCTCGCAAGTCAGTATGCCAAAGATCAGTCTGAGGTCAAAGTTCATATGCACTGGTTCTTATGAGCACTCAAAGCACCTCATTCACACACACATGCAAGTGCTTCCTATCTAGCATTCACACTCCGATGGATACATCAAGAATGGGATCGAACCAACAACCTTCACGATTAGTAGGTGACCTGTGCTACCAGCTGAGCTGCAGCCCAGATCAGGAAGAACTCGTTTTAAAAATGTGTGGTCCTGAAGGTCCTGATGGACCTGTTGGTCCTCATAGTCCTCATGGTCCTGATGGTCCTCGTGGACCTGTTGGTCCTCATGGTCCTGATGGTCCTCGTGGTCCTGATGGTCCTCGTGGACCTGTTGGTCCTCATGGTCCTGATGGTCCTCATGGTCCTGATGGTCCTCATGGTCCTGATGGTCCTCATGGTCCTGGTTCTTATGAGCACTCAAAGCTCATAAGAACCTTCAGGACCTGATGGCCTTCATGGTCCTGAAGGTCCTCATGGTGTTGATGGTTCTGATGGTCCTCGTGGTCCTAATGGCCCAGATGGTCCTCGTGGCCCGGATGGCCCTCATGGTCCTGAAGGTCCTC